GTGGGGTAGATGCATGGGGTGTGTTTGCCCTGGGCATCTGCCCCCACACAGAGTGCCAGGTCTAACGTATTTTCCTCTGCCTGGGAAATGTGTTGAAAGCAAACAGAGCTGTTTAAGCTGGCTCCCAGGTTTACCGCTGCATTCCCAGTGCCACATCTTTAAGTCCCTGAACTGAATCCACATTGCCATAAGCTTGTTAACTGCAAAAATAGCCAGGCGCCAGTGACTCATATCTATAATCCTAGCTACTCAGGGGGTTGAGATCTGAGGATCACAGTTCGAAGCCATCCAAGTCAGGAAAGTCTGAGATTTTAACTAACCGAAAGCCAGAAGTAAAAGTGTGGCTCAAGTGGTAGAGTGCCAGTCTTGAGTGATAAAGCCAGAGGACAGCATCCTCACCCTGAGTTCAAGTCCCAGTACTGGCACAATAAATAACAAACAAAACAAATTTCTCAGGTATGAGTCCTTAGGTGAAATGGTTGCCCCATTGGTTCTGCTTTTTTTTTTTTTTTCTTTTTCCAGAGCTGAGGATCAAACTCAGGGCCTTGTACTTGCCAGGCAAGTGCTCTTCCTCGGAGCTAAACCCCCATCCCTGCCCCATTGCTTCTTAAAAATGTTTTTCTCTTGATTTCCTTCATATCCAGTCTGCTTCCTATCCATCTGTAACTCTTCACTTTCTCTACTCTTCTCTTATATGGTGGGGTTCCTTAAAGACTTGTCCTGGGGCTCTAGTTTACTTTTCCTATTCTCTCTCTCACTGGATGAAAGAAAGCACTGTTTGTCAGCACCTATGAGATAATCCTTGGGTAGTCTTATAAATATTTTGTATGCACTTTATGGTAAGTGCTGGTGAGCAGAGGTTTCAAAGAAAGAGTAGAAGGCTACTCTTTCATTATTTCAATGACCATGTTTAGAGAAGTCCCATAGTCATATCCCTAGCTCAAACTTAATCTGAGTTCTAGCACATATAATCTCCAAGAACATATTTCTACTTAAGTTCTCCAAAGAACCTCCGGATCTATAGATTCAAAATGAACTTGCTAACTTCTGCTCCATCTCTTTCCCAGGTGAATGCTAAATGATTTAAGTTATCCAAGCCAGAAACTCAGGAGCCACCCTTGACTCCTTTCTCCCCCTCCTTCTCTTACTTGGATTGTTACAGTAGCTTCCTAACTGATCTTGCTCCAGTTTAGTTCCCTTCCAATCCAGTGATACTCTGGAAGGAAAGATCACAGTTCTAATAATGGCCATTAGGTTCTAAATATTAAATGGAAAATTAGACACCAAGCTTTCTAGCAACCAAGGGAAAATTTTGTTTCCTAATGCTTGTTCTAATGTTAATACTTTGTTGTAAACCAAATTTCTCAGGGGAAAATTTATGTAGAAAGCAGTAAGTGGTATAATGAAATTGCCCCCTACAGTATTTCTATCACATATCCTACAATTTCATAAGTATTTATGAGAACTAGGACCTGTGTGCACCATTGGAAATTAAACAGTGAATGTTTTTTTTTTAAGTATAGTCTCACATTAAAACCGAGTTTTGCATCCTATTAAATGAAACTTTCTGAAGACAATTTGGTATAGGGAGTTATTATTTCTCAAACCATCCTTGCCTGATGGTAGAACGAGGATCAAAATACCAATTGCTCAGTTTTCCTCCTCTGGTCTGTTCCCAGAGCATGATTTCAGGACTTTTAGCCTTTCTTTTAAACTTCGGCTCACCACCACTACCATTCAGCAAACATAAAATATTTATAGAGCTCCTCAAAGGTTGTGTCACATGTGCTGACTGTTTTTAATTACACAAAGACTCTGCAGGAAGCCATGGCAGCTAACACATGCCATACACCTCCTACACTTACCCTGGCAAGACACACCACTGCTATTGCTCGTAGAGGACAAAGGTTGTTGCTCATGATGCCTGCCAAGTCTGTGCCAAGTGCTGACAGAGTTCAGAGTGTACTGGCAACCAAGTGCCAACTTTCCATTGTCTTGAAGGTTCTCTGTAATGGGAATCCGCTTTCTCATAGCTCAGGATTGTTCCAATGGCTTGGGCCACTGATTACCCTTCCCCCAGGGGCACTTCCCAGTATTCTCCAGCTCATCTCCAACCCACAGTCTTAATCTAATTGTGAAATTTCACTTCCCCATCCTCACTCCCAGGTGATAGGCACCTGAATTCCCGGAAGAGATGGGTCAGAGGACTCAAATAGTAGGCTCTCAGATCTGTCAGTCCTATACCATATACTCAGGAGACTCTGAAACCTCAGCTACCTGTGGTCCTGCCCCCTCTCACACCCTTTGAACCCTTGAGCTCTGAGACCCTGAGACCCTGGCTCCTAACCATTACCGTATTTAAGCCCCTCCACCTCTGTAGCCATTATACCATGCCTCATTTCTCCTGACCCTCCTTAGGTCACTGTGGGTCCTGCTTCAATTCTTCATTAAAGTCATCTGGTCTGTTGAGATTGTTTCTGCTCTTTCTTTACTCTAATACCCTTGTGATTAAGTTTCCTAACACTGATGACTTAAAACTACCATGACTGAAATATCAGGGCCTGTCTGCACCAGAGCTTATACCACATTTTTGCTGAAATGGTGACAACGGCACTCTCTCCAAAGCAATACTGTCTGATGCTCTCAATACCTGACTTACTATGGTGAGACTTGCTGAAGCTAAGGCGCCATTGGAGCCCCTCTTTCTGACTTGCAGGTGCCCCCTATTCCTGTGTAATTACATGGTCTTTTCTTGGTGTGTGGCTATATTGGTATTTTTCTCTCTCTTTCTTCCTCTTTTTATAAAGACACAATCTTATCAAATTAGGATCCTACATTTTGTTACCTCTGCCCAGGAAAAGGGCCATATTCTCCATGCGAGCCTGCACAAACCCCCCCCCCCCCCTCACTGCTCAACATCTGCGTTACCCAGGTGACAGGCACACCTGGAGGCAGTTACCTCCCCTCTCTCTGAGGTCACATCCTGGACTGCCCCAGCCATGCCTCCTTTGGACCATGGGAGGTTCCCAGACTCTGAGGTCATGTCCACATCTGCTGTGGCCACTCGCCCTTCCCCGCCCTCTCTCTACACTAACCTCAATCCAGCAGAAGTTGCCCCGTCTCTGCCCACTGTCCACATGTGGGGATCGGCAGTTTGGATAATAAATTCTTTTCTGCCTGGGAAGTAGAAAATGGTAAACATGGAAAACTCTAGTAAAAATAAAAAGCCAGAGGAGTAGGTGTTGAGTCACATGTGAGAGCATAAGAGCTCTGAGTTCGCCGGGCGCTGGTGGCTCACGCCTGTAATCCTAGCTACACAGGAGGCTGAGATCTGAGGATCGCGGTTCAAAGCCAGCCCAGGCAGGAGAGAACATGAGACTCCTATCTCCAATAAACCACCAGAAAACAGGAAGTGGCGCTGTAGCTCAAGTGGTAGAGCGCTCGCCTCGAGCTGAAGAGCTGAGGGACAGTGCCCAGGCCCAGAGTTCAAGCCCCACGACTGACAAAAAAAAAAAAAGAGCTCTGAGTTCAAAATCTGTATGACCACCAAAAAAGAAAAACAGAAACAGTAAAAAGACATTATCAACAGTGATTTAGTTGTGATTTAAAAATGCACAACTCCTTGCTGGGTACCGGTGGCTCTCACTTGTAATTCTAGCTACTCAGGAGGCTGAGATCTGAGGATAACAGTTTGAAGCCATCCCAAGCAGGAAAGTTTGTGAGACTCTTATCCAATTAACCACCCCCCAAAAAACCCCATTGAAAAACTGTCACTAGCTGTAGAGAGCTATCCTTGAATGTAAAGGCTTAAGAACAGTAGCTACACCTGGAGTTCAAGCCCCAAGACCAGCAAATCACAAAACCACACCCCTACCTGACTGCCTCAGGGAAAGGTGAATCCCTCTTACTGTTAGGTTTTTAAAAAGAGATAACCGAGTAAGAATCACACCACGCACATGGTATTCAGGTAAGGGACAGGTATATTCATCGTTCTAGCTGGCACCGGGCTATGTTGGCCCTCCACGCGGCTGGGAAAGGCCTGGGAAAGAGAGCTGGGAAAGATTGAGTCTGGACCTGGGTTAGGCCTTATGTAGAGTGGGGGCGGGGGGGGGGGGGGGGGGGGGGAGGTGTGGCCACATGGAATCCAGATGTGGCCTCAGCGGATGCAGATGTGACCTCTTCCAGGTATCCCAGTTGCCTAGGTAACACAGGTACTGGGTGGAGACTTTGCTGCTAGGTGGGTGGAGTCTGCTCGCCATCCAGAAGCGGACCTTACACTTACTATTTCTGAAAGGCTGGATTGTCTGTTCATTTAGGGTTCTGAAACACTGGGTGTGGGCAGGATTTTCCCCACAAGAAATATTCCAGATGCAAGTAAACACATCTATGAGATGTTCTATATGTGTATGATCGTTACAATTTATGCCTGATTATTTTCTTTAAAAACATTTAAGTACTGGTGTTTGTTATGAGCCTCATGCTTGCTAGGCAGATACACTTGACCCTTGAGCGCACCTTCCCTCCTCCCCCGACCCCCGCACCCAGCCCAAGAATTTTCTCTAAACGGGAAGAGTAACTATTTATTATTATAATAAACAATAAATTTATTAATTTAATATTTATTTATTATAAAGCACCCCATGCTGAGCTTTGCAAATGGTAACCAGCCAGTTGTGCGGGGACACTCGACTCCAGGATTTAAGGAAGTCTTCCACATTCAAACTACTCCCTCATTCAAACTTTTCTACAGTATTCACACTACCACCTTGGACCCCAGTTTTCGCATTTTCGTAGGGTCCTGTCGGGGCGAACGTACTCTGGCGTCCTAGTCCCGGGACAGGCCGGCTGGCCTCAGCCCAAGGCAAGCAGGAACTACTCGCCCGGGGAGTCCAGCCGCGTAGGGCCCTCTGGGAGTTGTAGTTCTTCCATTGCCGAGCCTCGGGGCGGGACGCCCCCGTCGGACTCCACTTCCCGTGCCCCTTTGCGCGTCCTCACTTGGGACAGCGCCCGGGCAGGTTGGAGAGAGGGTGGGAGTTTGCGGATGAGGAGCGGATTGGCGTCCTTGGCGGACGCGCCGCCCGGAGCTTGGGGTTCCCTCCCGCGCCTTCAGGGTTCGGGGAGGCAAACTTCACGTACGAGTTGAAGCTTCTTTCGTCCGGTCTCCCACAGGTCCCGGCTTCGGTTTACAGTCCCAGGGACGTGGCCGCTGCCTGGGGGGTCGGGGTCCCGCTCCGGGCCGGGCCGCGGCAGCCCCCGCGGCCATGCGCCTGCCGACCGCTTCTGGTGTCCGCGGCGGCCGCTGAGGCCCGGCACCCGCGGGGGACCCCCCGAGCGTATCCCCACGACCGCCGGCCCCGCCCTCCCCATGCTCGCCGGTGCCTTCCGCGGACGCCGCTGGGCCCCGGTGGGCGTCCTGGCCTCGCTGGCCTTCTGCCTCCACCGGCGGCGGCTGGCCCAGGCCGAGCAGCGGGCGGCCGATGGCCGGTGCCCGGCTGACCGCCGCGAGCTGGAGCTGAGGATGGTGCAGGTGGTGTTCCGCCACGGGGCGCGGAGTCCCCTCCACCAGCTCCCGCTGGAGGAGCAGGTGAGGTCGTGGCCTGGAAGCCGGTGAGGGGCGGGGCAGGGCGGGACCCGGGACCGGCCGGAGTAGCCGGTGCCTTCTCGGTCTGGCTTGGGCGCCAACTCGTGCACTCATTCCCCCCGCCCCTAGTCCCATCTCCCCCCGTACCCCCCCCCACCCGTCCCATCCCCTTCTCCGGGGACCCTCGGGCTAGGATGGTGACCTCTGGGAATCGCCTGGGGACCTTTTTAAAATGCAGATTCTGTCGGGCACCGCGGGCTCACGCTTGTAATCTTATCAACTCAGGAGGCTGAGATCTGAGGATCACGGTTCGAAGCCAGCCCACAGAGGAAAGTTCTGGGGACTCTTTCCAACAGTGAACCACCAGAAAGCCTGAAGCCAAGTTGGGGTTCAAATTAGGTAGAGCATTATCCTTGAGCTGAAAAGCCCCAGGACGGCTCACAGGCCTTGAATTCAAACCCCAGGACTGGCACAGGTGCACACAGTGCTGGTTCCGAGTCAGCGGCTACGGCCAGAAAGCTTGCGCTTTTCGTTAGTGTCTGGGTGAACTTTGCTTAGCACTTTCGTACCTGGTGCAGGCACATTTGTGGGCACCTGTTTGTCCAAGAGTTGCAGGGACCTTTGTAACAAGAACCTCCCTAAGTGCGGTCACAGTGCAGAACAGAGGGCACGCTTTTAGGAAGAGATTTTAGGACCCCCCAGGGTTTGTTGCAGACCATTTGAGATCTCATGAAAACTTTGTAGTAACACATCCTGTATCTTGGGGCTCTCCTTTTACATGTACCCTGCGTGTGTATGTGTGAGTGATGTTGTTAGAGTTTGAATTCAAGGATTTGGACTTCTCTCCTCCTAACCTAACATTGCCCAAGTGGCTAGGTGGACAGGCCCTTGATCCTCAGATCTCAGTTTCCCGAGTTGCTAGGATTACAGGTGTGAGTCAGGCCCACGGCTTGAATAGCTTTTGGGATAACCTGTCTTACTAGATGATTGTGTTTGGTAGTAAAATTATGAAGCTTGAGTGGTCATTTTTCTTTAAAGTAGATCCAGGATTCTTTTCAAAGGAAAAGATTCGGTCTGCTTCCAGATCCACTTTGCTCCTGCTCAGACAGTGGCAACTTGGTTCCCACCAGACAAATTGTTTTTAAGTTCAGTTTACTCCAGCTCCATTGGTGGTAAGGCTTTGTTGGTAGGGTGCAGTGGGACAGAACTGAGGCTTAAATGCAGGGCATAGGCCCTGTCTCTTAGCTTTAGCTGGTGCTCTGCCACAGCTTCACTCCTGGCTTTTTGCTGATTTATTGGAGAAAAGAGTCTGCTTGGGCTGGCTTCCTTAGATCTCAGCCTCCTGAATAGCTAGAATTAGACATAAGCCACCAGCAAGCAGCCTGTTAAGGGATTTTGATCTTGGTTTATTTGACAATATGGAAGAACATAATGTCCTGGTGACATTTAGGAAGCTCTGGATGAAAGAAGTACAGGTCAGTCCATCCATTCTGTTGTATTATTAATTGTTCTGAACCATGGTAGGACACTGAACTCAACTAACTGGAGAATTTTTTTTTTTAATTTATGTTATCTTTTGGTGGCTCAAAATCAGAAAGACACTCTTAATCCTAACTTCTTAGCCCATGCACCAAATATGTTACTAGAATTTAACTAAATTGACATGAGCCTTACTTCCACTTCTGACTTTTTGCTGGAATTAGAATCTCACAGATTTTTCTGCCTGAGCTTGTTTCAAGCCATGCTCCTGAGATCTCGACCTCCTAAGCAGCTAGTATTGCAGATTTGAGCTGCACGGGCCAGGTCTTCTGTCTGGTAAAAGAAGAATAAAGGAAAGATGCAAACATAGGAAAGGTGATAGAAAAGTTTAGGAAAGAAATAAGGAGAGACTCTGGTGGCTCATGATTATAATCCTAACTATTCAGGAAGCTGAAATCTGAGAGTCAAGGTCTGTAAATCCATGAGACTTTATCTCCAAATAACCAACAAAAAAGCTAGAAGTGGAGCTGTGGCTCGAGTAGTAAGTAGTAGTAAAACCTTGAGCAAAAAAAAAACCCGTAAGGGACAGCATCCAGGCACTGAGTTCAAGCCCCAGTACTGGGACAAAAAGAAAAGAGAATTGGGGGGAGGGGGGAAGGAAGGTAGATAAAGAGCCTGTGCATAGACAGCAGTAGGAAGGTAGCACTTCAGCCCACCCACCTCAGCCATGTTGTACCCTCTTCACTGTGACTGAGTGTGGCCTCAGATTAAATAGGGAGAATTGGAGACTTGGTAGGGTTCCTATCCCTTTCTATACTGATTGGTCAATTATGTGGTCAGGGACACTTGGAGGTTTTTCATTTTTGTTGTTTGTTTTTTTGTTACAGGGAAGGTATTGAACAAGCTGGCTAAAATTGTGGCCCTATTGGTTGCTCTTGTTTCTTTTTGTGCTGCTGACTCAAATCCTGACCACATCAATTTTGTAAAAGTAAGCCAAACAGGAGGAAGGAGGCTGTGTATTTTTAGCCCACCAAGGCCACACTCCGCTGATCTGGCCCCCTAGGGTCACACTCTTTCTCAAGATGGTCAGGCTCTAGGGGGCTTTCCACATTTGCACATCTCTTTTCTTTACAGTCCCTCATTCTCTCAATGCCTGGGTCTTCCTCCCTGGGACTGTAATTTAGTTGGCCTAGGATATCTGGACATTGTAAAAAAATTTTCTGGTGAAGCTTTAGAATGATCTAGACTCTACAAGTGGAGACTTCCCCGCCCTACTCGAAGATTGGGAGGCTCACAATATGAGGCTACCCCAGGGAGAAAGTTTCAGACTCCCATCTAACCAATAAAAAAAACTGGGTGCAATGATGCATGCTTTTCACCCTACCTATGTAGAATTGTAAATAGGATTGAGGTGCAGACTGGCCCGTGCAAAAAGTGAAGTTATATTAACAAAAGAAAGAGTTGGAGGAATGACTCAGAGGCCCGCAGTTTAAACACCAGTCCCACCAACTGATTAACTGGCCAACGAATCAATTAATTAGTAAAAGTGGAGACTCCAACCTAGGAAGATCCAGGTGTGAATAGTCCAGAATGAGGCTCAGATATGAATAACTTAAAAAAAAAATCTCAGTGATGTCAGTAGGTAAGCCAAGGCTCAAAACTACTGCTTTATTCTAAAACCTATACCTGGGAAGTTTTTGTTTTGGTAGATATTTTTCCCCCTTTGGCCTGGAATGCAGCAGATCGATCCCACTGTTTGGCATGGCTTTCATCCCAGTGTCTTTGGTGGGATGTTATCGTTTGTGCTGAGAAAACCTGGAACAACAGTCCCGCAGAACACACTGCTGTGACTGCTGGGAAGATGTTCACCATATCACTCTCCCTTTTTGAGGGCCCCTGGGAGGAATTTGTCTGTTAGCATTAGCAGTGGTGTGCTTCTTCTGAGCTGCTGGCTTGCTTTTATCTTTAAACTCCTGTCTGGCTGAGCTCTTCTTTTACAGAAATGCCAGGAGCTTTGTGTCAAATATACTGCTCACCCATGACAAGTGTGTGGATTGTGGTGTACTTTTTTTTTTTTTAAATCTTGTTACCGCATCCATTTTTGTCCTTCTGTTTGCTTGCCTTTGTATTTGTTACCTACTTTGAGTTGATTGTTTTACCACATTTTAAATATTGCTATCATATTGTTAAGTTTCTGGGGCTTGAAACGCAGGACTTTGTACTCTCACTTGGCTTTTTCTGCTCTAGGCAGAACCACACCTCCACTTCCAGCTTTTTGCTGGTAAATTGGAGCTAAGAGTTCTTGGGACTTTTCTGCCCGAGCTGGCTTTCAATCTTGATCTTCAGATCTCGGCCTCCTGAGTAGCTAGGATTACAGATGTAAGCCTGTGGCCTCTTAATCATGATAGATAGCCAAAAGAGAAAGTCTTTGTTGCCTTTGAACAATGAGGGCCTTCATCAGGTTTCTTGCACATTTTCTACTTTGTTTTGTTTAGTGTGTTTGTGTATGTGTGTGTGTGTGTGTGCTTGCTAGTGCCAGTGCCAGGGCTGGGTCAGGGCCCGGGCACTGTCCTTGAGCTTTTGTGCACAAGGCTAGCACTCTACCACTTTGAGCCACGGCTTCAGTTCCAGTTTTTTGGTAATTAGTTGGAGATGAGAGTCTCACTGACATTCCTGCCTGGGCTGCCTTTGAACCATTATTTCAGAGCTATGATAAGTGTGAGCCCCCAAGCCCCTGACTGCATCACTTCATTATGGTGTTGCTGTCATTTGCTTTCATTTGCATTCATAGCTCGCTTCCTCTACTAACAGAAAGGAACCCAGGAAAGGCAGAATCAAGGTGCCCCAAGCTTGGTGTCTTCTACTGGGCCTGGCACATTGGCAGAACTGTTCGTTGTATCTGTGGTGTGCCGGGGCTTTGGGGGCGGGGAGGCGGGGGAGGGAGATGTGGACTATCGGGGTCAATAGATGACCTAGTTTCTTTCTCATGAAGCTAAGGCTACTGAGCAAGACAATCTAGTAAAGGCTGCCAAAGAGCTGGTGAGCTCAGGTGAGGGCTTATTGAGTCTTTTGGAATGAACAAGAGTCTTCTCAGTAAGAGAGAAAAAACAAAATCTAGGTAGAAGGAACATGCTGTTGAAAGCCCAGGAGGTGTGAGAACGGGACTAAGGGAAACCACATTGTGTGGCCTGAGATGAAGTATTGAGGGCAGAGAAGAAAATTGGGGGGAGGGGATACACTGGGGGAAGCAGCCGCCCCATCAGACCACTCTGAACCTTGTAGGGTTTTATCCAAAGGGTCAGGGGAAGAAGGAGCGATGGCTAACTGAAAGAAGGAATAATATCTTGTGTGTGTGTGTCAGTGTGAGTGAGTACTGGGACTACTTAATTGGAAATGTGTTTTATAGAGTTTCCTGCCCCAGTTGGTTTTAAATCCTCAGATCTCAGCTTCCTGAGTAGCTCGGATTATAGGCTTGAGGCATAGATACCAGTTAAAAGTTTATCCTCCTAGCCTTATGTTCCATGGGGAGGAGGGTGCTGGAGGTTAATGTTCTGAGTTTTCAACCATTTTTAACATTTATTTATTTTATGTATGTATTTATGTCCTGCTAGTTCTGCGGCATGAACTCTCGGGGCCTGGGAGCCATCCCTCAGCTGTTTTTGCTTAAGGCTGGCACTCTACTACTTGAGCCACAGGTCTACTTCTGGCTTTGGGGTAGTTAATTGGAGACAGAATTCTCACAGAAGCCGAGCATCAGGGATCACGCTTGTAATCCTAGCTACCCCAGAGGCTGAGATCTGAGGATCACGGTTTAAAGCCAGCCCAGGCAGGAAAGTCCGTGAGACTCTTATCTCTAGTAAACCACGAGAAAACCACAACTGACCAAAAAAAAAAAAAAAAAAAAAGAGTCTCACAAGACTTTCCTGTCCAGTCTGGCTTCAGTTTTTTTTTTTTTTTTTGGTCGGTCGTGGGGCTTGAACTCTGGGCCTGAGTGCTGTCCTTCACTCTTCAGCTTAAGACTAGCGCTTTACCATCTGAGCCACAGCACCACTTCCTGGCTTCCAACTTTTATTCTCAGATCTCAGCTTCCTGAGTCTTTAGGATTACAGGTGTGAGCCACCAGTACCCAGGTTGTTTTTTTTTTTAACATTTTTTTTAATGGTCACAACAGGTAGAGTGGAACCCCCAGCTCTTAGAGGTCCCACCCCAAACCCAGCTTGATTACACAGTCACCAATCTTGCTGGTGGCCCGAAACCACATTCTCCTTATGACTCTCAGTACCACAAGACCACCTTGAAGGTGAGCAGGGATACTTCCTCCTCTGAGCGGGACCCAGCAGGTCGGCAAGCGTTTTACTCTCTCTCTCTCTTCCCTCTGCAGGGAGGCATGTTTGCTGGGCAGCTGACCAAAGTGGGCATGCAGCAGATGTTTGCCCTTGGGGAGAGACTGCGCAAGAGCTATGTGGAAGACACCCCCTTTCTTTCACCAGCCTTCAACCCACAGGAGGTCTTGTGAGTCACCAAGACAAGGGACATGGCACCTCATTTAAGGTCTTGAGCATGGAGGAGGGACACCTGTCCTGCCCCTCTTGGTAGTTCCCAGGTAGTTCCCACCATTAGGGAGACAGTGCAGGTCCCAGGAGCTTGTGAACAGCTGGGCAGTAGAGGTCCCATTCATTGGCCTTCCAGTCCCAAAGGGACTGCCATCTTATAGAGAGTAAAACCTTCCAGGTTTACATCCTTGATGTCATTTCTTTGTGGTCTCTCTTTGAAAAAAAATAGTGCATACTTAATTGTAAAAAGGAGTTTTGGGTTGATATTTCCATCTGGGAAATTCACTTCTTGAATTCTGATTGTGTATGTGTGTGTGTAGGTAGGTACTGGGGCTTGAACTCAGGGCCTGGGCATTCTCCTTTAGCTTTTCACTTCAAAGCTAGTGCTCTACCACTTGAGCCACAGCTCCACTTCTGGATTTTTGGTGGTTCATTAGATATGAGTCTCATGGGCTTTCCTGTCCAGGCGAGCTTTGAACTTTTGATACTCAGATCTCAGCCTCCTGAGTAGCTAGGATTACAGCTGTGAGCCACTTTGCCTGGCCTAATACGGTCTTGAAAGGCTTGGAACTTTTTGTTGTTGCTGTTGGTTGTAGGGCTTGAACTCTGGGCCTGGGTGTTGTCCCTCAGCTCTTCAGCTCAAGGTTAGCTCTATACCACTTGAGCCACAGTACAGATTTTCTGAATGGTTTATTGGAGATAAGACTCTCATATATTTTCCTGCCTGGGCTGGCTTTGAACCGCAATCCTCAGATCTCAGCCTCCTGAGTAGCTAGGATTACAGGCGTGAGCTACCGGCACCTGGCACTTGGAGCTTCTTGTTCCCAGCGGCCCAGCATCTTTTTGATGAGCATCTCTGTCTTTTCATTTTTCCCTCCCAGTGTTCGTTCCACCAACATGTTCCGGAACCTGGAGTCTACTCGATGTTTGCTGGCTGGGCTTTTCCAGCGTCAGAAAGAAGGTTTGTGTTTGGGATGTAAAGGATAATCCCTAGTCACTCTGAGAAACTTCCAAAGCCCCTCTTCTCTCTGTTGGTGTCTGTTCCCTTAATCTCTCTTCTCCTGCACCTGTGACTTCTGGGTCTACTTATTTTCTAGAACATTCTCCCCAGCGTAACCTTTCTCTGGGGTTTTGAGATGGCCAACCAGAGGAGGATTGCAGTCAGCAACTTTCCATCCCCAGGGACTGCGTTTATTTCCCTCACATGGGTCCTGTGAGTTGAGGGCCTTAGGTGATCCAGGGAGGCATAGTGTCATTTGTGAGTATTCAAATCTGTATTTCATTGTGGATCTGAATTTCAGATGATCGTGAGCATCAGTCTCTAAGAGGCAAATGTCTTCTTTCTAGAAGCAACAGGAATGTGACTGAGAAGAACTTGTTTCTTGGTGGCCCCTTATCTGCAGGCATGAACTTTGCCACTTGGGCCGTGACTCCCCATCCAGGACCTTAAGATATTGGGACTCCAGTGTGACTGTCACAGCCAATAATTTGTCTTTCACAATAGGAAGGGACTTGAATGAGCCAAAGAACGCCAGCAAATGCTGCCGTTAATGGAAATAATGCAGCTTTGGAGATTGCTTTGGGATTAAAATCTCTGGGAAAGTGCTAGATGGTTATATGTGAGCTACTGAGAATCAGAAGGAATGTGGGGACTGCTGGTCTCCTCGCTTAGTCATTCACTCCTTCCAGATAGATTTGAGTGTTTTATTTAACCTAAACTATCGTACCAATATTCCAGTTGCAGATGGAATAGAAGAGTTTTATAGTGTGTAGGGTTCTAGTAGAGGTTTGCATCATAGTATTATTATTATTACTATTGTTTTGGTACCAGTAGTAGATCTTGAACTCAGGGTATAGGCTCTGGCCTTTAGTTGTTTTGCTCAAGGCTAGTACTTTACCACTTGAGCTTCAGCTCCACTTCTGGCTTGTTGGTGGTTACATCAGAGTCTCACAGACTTTTGGCCTAAACTGGCTTCAAACAGCGATCATCAGATCTCAGCCTTCTGAGCAGGATGGCAGGCATGAGCCATGGGCCCCAGCTGTAGACTAGAGTTATTTTGGAATGTGAGAGGATGTGTGGCCCAGAAGCTTTCTCCATTTGTCATGTGATTGGTCACCACACTGGCCTATGGGATTGAACTTTGGGAAGCAATAAAAAGAACCTAGTTGTGATCAAGTTAAGGAGAAGCCACTCTCTTCAAATGCTCGAGCCCTGAGAGTGCTGGGGCCAGAGCAGTGCTGGCCTCATCCAGGTCTGTCCCCGCTCGCTCTGGTCTTCTGGGGCCTTGGAAGGGCATTGCTCTGTACTTTCTCCAGTGCTTGGGTTGTAGGATTGCTGTAGGCATGGCTGCAGTGTGGCCCTCAGTGTGGAGTGGCATTGCGATCTGTGTCTTGGAGTACTTCTGCCTGCAAGCAGAGAGAAGCAGAAAGTGGGGATGCTGGTAAGAACAAGCCAAAGCCCCTCACACCTGTGCTTCCCACCTTCCTAACAGGCCCCATCATCATCCACACCGATGAGGCAAGCTCTGAAGTCTTGTATCCCAACTACCAAAGCTGCTGGAGGCTGACACAGAAAGTCAGGTAACTGTCCTGGCTTCTCTCTATCTTTTGCTTTTTCTTTCTTCCTTCTTTTCCCTCCCCTCCCTCCCCTCTCCTTTCCTTTGTCCCTCCCTCCTTCTCATGCTCTCTCTCGTGTTCTCTCTCCCCCCGCCCCTTTTTCTGTGTGTCAGTACTCAGATCCTAGCCCCTTAGCTTTACTCAAGGCTGGCACTCTACTACTTGAGCCACATCTCCACTTCAGCTTTTTGATGAGTAATTGTAGATAAGAGTCCCATGGACTTCCTGCCTGGGCTGGCTTTGGACCTCAATCCTCAGGGCTTCCGAGTAGCTAGGATTGCAGGTCTGAGGCTCCAGCACCCTGCTCTTACTTTCATAATTCATGACCTTTTGGAAACATAATTTACTCATCTGTGAAAGGAGTATAATGTAGGTCAACCCTATTGGGTTGTTGTAAAGATCTCACATGTTGACCAAGGAAGTGGAAAAGTGATTCAAGTGATAGAGCACCAGCCTTGAGAAAAAAAAGCCAAGCAAACAGACAAAGGCCTGAGTTCAAGCCCTACCCCTCATCCTCTACCAAAAGAAATCGCAAAATTATGAATGGGGAGAGAGAGACAAGGTGTGCACATAGTCAGTAGTTAATGTCCATATGGGAAAATGGAGCCAGGTAACTTGAGGGGATAGAGGAGTTGGGGGAGATGGAGGAGAACAAATGGAAGGGATGACACTACTCAAGAGGCAGTGTACTCATAAATTGATTTGTTGCTTTGTAATCCCTTTGTACAGCTACTTACAGATAATAATACTAGTAAAATATTCAGCCTCCAGTGTTGACCAACCAGTTTTGTAAATTATCATCAGTGTACAGTAGCAATATAAGGGCTTACTTTTTTTTTTGTCAGAGCCCAGAAAAAGACTGCAACTTTACAGCCAGGGATCTCAGAGGATCTGAAAAAGGTGAAGGCACGAATGGGCCTCGACAGGAATGATGAGGTGGACTTCCTGATTCTGCTAGACAATGTGGTTGCTGAGCAGGTAATGAAACTGTGTGTGTATGTGCACGTGTGCCTGTGTGCCTGTGCGTGTGTGTATGTGTGTGTGTGTGGGCTCGCGCGCGCACCAGTACTGGGGCCTGCAGGGTCTCTCTCTGTCCCTTAGCTTTTTCACCCAATGGGGTACCTTCCTACTTGAGCCATACTTCCACTTCTGGCTTTTTGGTGGTTAAAGTCTCAAAGACTTTTCTGTCTCAGCTGGCTTTGAACTGCAATCCTCAGATCTCAGTCTCCTGTGGATTACAGGCATGAGCCACCAGTGCCTGGCTAACAAGTTTTAAGTTCTGGTCTTTTAGGGCTGTAGGAATTCATGGCTTCAGAAGAGCCCTGAGGCCCTGGCTGGCTGAGCTGTTCCATCCTCCACAGCTGGAGGTAGCCCTGGCGGGCTTCCTGGAAGAGGAGGAGCTTGCAGTCTGTTCTCCAGAAGCCTCTCTAATGCTGTGTGTCTCTGGTTCTTTCAGGTCCACAACCTCCCGAGCTGTCCCACACTGAGGACATTTGCACGGATAATTGAAGAGAGAGCTGTGGACACAGCTGTACATATATTGCAACAGGATGACAGGTGAGGTGTCTCTGCAGCTGCCAGTGTGAAGTCACACATGGCCAGGCCTCCGTGTGTCAGGGGAGAGGCTCATTAACCTCACTCACCATGTAGAATGAAACCGGGCTTGTAGTCCCCAGGCTCAAAGTGCAGGAGTCCCAAGTTAGGGCCAGCCACTCACCCCGTGTGCCAAATAAAGAGACGTGGTGGCTTGTGCCTGTAATTCTAGCAGCCCAGGAGGCTGTGAGCTGAGGATGGTGATTCAAAGCTAACCCAGGCCGAAAAGTCCATGAGACACTTATCTCCAATTAATAAGCAAAAAGCCAGAAATGAAACTGTGGTTCAAGTAGTACAGCACTAGTCTTGAGGGAAGAAGCAAAAGAAGAATGCCCCAGGCCCTGAGTTCAACCCCTAGTACTAGAGCGTGCGCGCGCGCACACACACACACACACACACACACACACACACACACACACACACACACACACACACACACACACACACACACACACACACACACACACACACACACACACACACACACACAGAAAACAACAGCAAAAACCATAGGAAGTGTTACTTCTGATTGTTTTGCTAAGGTCCTCTGGAACTTCTCTCCTGCCCATTGCTCTTCTACATGACTTGTCTTCTCAGTTCCTTTGAGCTCTTTGAGGTCCTGGAGGACAGATGCAGCTACATCCCCGGGGTTCAGGGTGGCTGCTGGATGCTTGAATGTTGTTCCCTCTTCTCAGGGAAAGTCTTCAGATGGCGGTCGGCCCATTCCTGCACATCCTGGAGGGCAACCTGCTGAGCACCGTGGACCCTACCACTCCTCCCAGCAAGCTGAGGTACCTGCACCCAGATTCTGCAGTGCACAGCTAAGGGCGGTGGGGCTTCTGGCTGCAGGCAGGCATCAGGCTACAAGAGAACAGGTGAACAGCTAAGAGATTACAGGACCCATTCAGAGGGGTCACTGGGAGCAGTTGATCCTTTGCTGGAGTATCTAATTTTTTCATCTTTTAAAAAAGTTGAAAAAGAGGGGCTGGGAAGGTGGCTCAGTGGTAGAGTGCTTGCCTTGCATGCCTTAGGCCCTGGATTCGATTCCTCAGCACCACATAAGCAAAAAGAAAAAAGCCGGAAGTGGCGCTGTGGCTCAACAGGTAGAGCACTAGCCTTGAGCTAAAGAGCTGAGGGACAGCACTCAGGCCCAGAGTTTAGGCCCCACGACCCGACCCAAAAAAAAAAAAAAAAAGTTGAAAAAGAATTTAGTACCTGTACTGGGCTTGAATTCAGGTCTCATGCTGTCACTTAGCATTTTCACTGAAGATTAGCACTCTACCACTTGAGCCACAACTCCACTTCCATTGGTTCATTGGAGATAAAGAGTTTCATACACTTTTCTATTTGGTCTGGTTTTGAACCTCGGTCCTCAGATCTCAGCCTCCTGAGTCACCAGAATTACAGGCATAAGCCAGCAATGCCTGGCTACCCTTCAATCTTTCACAATACCTGCAAGGATCCTACAGTGCTTGCTCTCTTTGGCTACCTTGCCACTCTGCCTTGTAGCTAACAAAAGCTTAGAATTCAGTGACAGTGTTCTAGGTGGCGAGCCCATCAATAAAATCCAATCCTTCCCAAGGGAGCCACACCTTTACTCTTTGGAGAAGGACTTGGTGGCCAGACAGACTTATTAGTAATCCTTTGAAATGAACTTAATTCTCTATAAACTGTAAGCTCTTTGACACAGAAGGAAGCTGACCCTATTAAACTCATTGTTTATGCAAAGAGTAGGAAAACATTCGTCATGGGCTAGTAAGACCCCAGAGAGACTAGTCTCCAGGTACTTTCACTCATTGTCTTCCTGAAACTTCACCAGAGAGGGAGGAAGTGGGCAGGGCAGAGCTGGCAAGGAGAGTTCTCCAGGCCACCCTCCTCTTCCCCCATGAGAACTGGAGGGGAGGCATGGGGGCAGAAGTTTTGTTTCAGAAGTTTTATACCCAGTTCAACTAGGCAATGTCCTGGCCTCCCATGTCCTCCCTTGCAGAAAGCTGTACCTCTATGCAGCTCATGATGTTACCCTTATGCCTCTCTTAATGGCCCTGGGGATTTTTGACCACAAATGGCCCCCATTTGCTGTGGACCTGACCCTGGAACTCTACCAGCACCAGAAATCCAAGGAGTGGTTTGTGCAGCTCTTTTACCACGGAGAGGTAAGATCTCTGGGTGAGAGCCGTGCACCCATGCCTATCCCCTTCCTCCCTTGTTTAGCACTAGCTCTCCATCCTGGGGCCGAGCTGCCTTCTAAAGCCTGTGAGGGGACTCACAGCTGCAGCCTAGGGCTAGGGCAGAACTTGCATGTGGTGTCTGGTCTTTCTCCTGAGTGGATGTGACATCCTGCTGATTTTGAAAATTAGTGGTGTGTTTGGGGAGCTAATGTGTGTCTTTAGACTCCTCAGTGGCTGCGACACACCCTCATGGCTGACACGCCATGATGACGGAGTCTTTCCTAAGTGACTTTTAGAAGCAGAAGGTCGTGCTTTAAACTCTGGGGGCAGACTGTGTAGGAGATGCCCACCTGGCTGTGAATTGTATATTTCTCGGGTTACTGGCCTCAGTGGGGGACAGCAGCAGGAATGGGGTCCTCAGTGGACCTGCTGAGTTCTGTCTCTTCCTCAGGAGCAGGTGCCCAGAGGGTGCCCCGACAAGCTCTGCCCGCTCAAGCTGTTCCTGAACGCCATGTCCCTCTACACCACAAGCCCAGAGAAGTACCACACGCTCTGCTCCCCGGCACAAGCCGTGGAGTTTAGGAATGGACAGTGACTCTTTATACAAGCAACTTGATTTGCAAATAAAATGCCTTTATAGAATTATTGCCTGTATAAAATGCTTTATATGCCTCAGCTTTGTGTGTTTGGGGATGGGGAACACAAATTAAAAGTACTTAATTTGGGGCTGGGAAGGTGGCTCAGTGGTAGAGCGCTTGCCTTGCATGCATGAGGCCCTGGGTTCGATTCTCAGCACCACATAAGCAAAAAGAAAAAAGCCGGAAGTGGTGCTGTGGCTCAAGTGATAGAGCGCTAGCCTTGAGCTGAAGAGCTGAGGGATAGCGCTCAGGCCCAGAGTTCAGGCCCCATAACCGGACCTCCCCCAAAAAAATAAATAAAATAATTTTTTTTTAAAAGTACTTAATTTTGTGTGTGTGTTGATGTGATGGCTTGAACTTGGGGTCTCACGCTTTTGCTTGGATTTTTTTTTTTTTTTTTTTGGTCAATCATGGGGGTTGAACTCAGGGCCTGGATGCTGTCCCTAAGCTTTTTTTTTTGCTCAAAACTAGTGCTTTACAACTTTGAACTACAACTCCATTTACTTGGGTTTTTTTTTTTTTTAATTTTATTATTTTATTTTTTTTCCCTTCCCATCCCTTCCCATCTCCCTGCCCCCTGCTTGGAGTTTTCTGCTCAAGGCTAGCACTCTACCACATGAGCTACAGCTCCACTTCTGGCTTTTGGCCATTTGGAGGTAAATGTCTCATGGATTATCCTGTATGGGCTGCCTTTGAACCTCGATCCTCAGATCTCCACCTCCTGAGTAGCTAGAATTACAGGCATGAGCCACCAATGCCCAGCTTATTGTTGTATTTCTTATTTCATAAGAAAGTGAGCATAAGTGTTTCACTCCATGAAAATAACCCTCATAAAACTCAGGTGCCTCTGTGATCAACACTGCTGTCTTACTCAGCTTCTCGCCAGCTTTCTTGGGATGTTTTCTTCATTTGGCTTCTGCTAATATTTTCTTGGTTTTCCTCTAGTTTCTCCGTTTCTCTATTTTTGCTGATTCTACCCTTTCCTGATCTGTCCCTGGGTTGAATCCTCCTGCCCCTGTGGGTGATGTGTGTGTGTGCGCTTGTGTGTGTGTGTGCACGTGCATGCATGCATGCGCGTGTTCATAATAGGGTTTGAACTCAGATCCTAGGCTCTATGCCTTAAGCTTTTTCTCTCAAGTTGGGGCTCTACCACTTAAGCCACACCTCCACTTCCCCTGTGGGTAATCCCAAGCAGTTCCATAGTTTTAAATTTAATATACACACTGTCTCCTAAGCTTGTACCTTCAATTTAGATCTTTCCTCCTGAATTCCAGCTTCATAACTGTCACTCCACATCTCCATTTAGATATTTAAGATATCCATATGCAAAATATCTCAGATCTTCCCTCCCTTTGCCTCTAGCCTTAGTTACACTCTACTACCTCATGTGTGGACTGCACCGCATTCTCCATGGAGGTCCTGACCTCTAGGCTTTCAGACATATGAGAGAAGTCCTTATGATAAATGAGGTCATACAGGTAAGCCCCAATTCAGCTGGCTGGTATCCTTTCAAAAGGGAAATTTGGAAGCCAGGTGCTGGTAGCTCACACCTGTAATCAACCTAACTCAGGAGGCTGAGATCTGATCACAATTGAAAGCCAGCCCAGGCAGACAAGTCCATGAGACTCTTATCTCCAATTAACCAGCAAAAAGCCAGAAGCAGCGCTGTGGCTCAAGTGGTAGAACTACAGGCCTTGAGTTAAAAAGGTAAGGGACAGTGCACAGACCCTGAGTTCAAGTCCCAGTCAATACTGATACAAAATGAAAGAAAGAGGAAGAGAGAAAAGGAAGGACAGAAAGAATGAAGGAAACCTGAGCACGGACACAGGAAAGGCCATTGGAAGCCAGTGGGAGAAGGCAGCTCTTTGCAAGTTGAAAGAGTACGCAGAAGGAACCACCCCCGTCAAGCCTCTGTTCTGGGACATGAGCCTCCTGCATTTTGTGGAAATAACATCCAGTCTGGGCTATTTTGTTAAAGCAACCCTCAAAAATGGATACACTTGGTCCTGTCTTTTCCTCAGGCATTCATTAGTGTTTGCCATTCTCTCTCCATATTTCTTATCTGTCTAGGTGAGCTCCGTGAAGGCAGACATCCGTGTCCCCAGCAGGAGTAGTGCCTAACACAGCCAGTGCTTACCAGTTTGTATGATATCCCCGGCTCTGTGATCACTCTCCCAGGTTACAGTGGTGGCTGCCTAGTAGGTCACACCCTTTCTCTACAGCACTTTCTGAGATCTGCTCCTGGTCACCCTCAGCCTCCTTCATGACAGACCTCCTGGCCAGACGGAACTCTTTTAAGGAAATGAGATTCCTCCTTCTCTAGTGACTTTACCTTGGCTTATGTTCTCTGACCCCTGGCTGTGGACACACATCCTTATAGCCTGTCCAATTCCTGCTAGTCTATAGGTGTCCCATGTCATTAGGGGCCATCTCTCTGTGACTGTGTATGGGGTAAGTCCCTGGGTTGTCACTTCAGCACAGACATCCAGGATGAGTAGATGAGTTCAGAACTTAACCCTCCCGGCTACTGAGCACTCCCCCTGTTCTCCACTAGGGGGAAGCCTAGGGCAAGGGGAACCTCCAAGGCTTTCCCCCGCCTGTACTTGCAGTTGTGGATAAGCGTAAGTTGGATAAGTATTCCTGAGAATTCCAGACAGCATGGATCTAGGAGTCACAAGCTTGCAGTTAAAAATCCTGCCTCTGAGCCAGCTGGGCAATGGTGGGTCATGCCTATAATCCTAACTTCAGGAGGCTGAGATATGAGGATCATGGTTCGAAGCCAGCTCATGCAGGAAAGTCCTTGAGACTCTTTTCTCTAATTAACCACCAGAAAAATGGAAGTGGAGCTGGGGATCAGAGTTGTAGAGCACTAGCCTTGAGCAAAAATGCTCAGGGACAACACCCACGTCCTGAGTTCAAGCTCCACCACTGACAAAAAAATCCTTCCTCTGTATGTACTGTCTAAACTGGAAAGTCCATTCAGGGCTGAGGGTGTAGCTCAGCTTACAGCATATGCAAAGTTCAGGGTTTGATTCTTAGTACTACAAAAAGATTCTGTTGGTATGTCTGTCTAGATCTGTATATAGGTGTGTGGGTGTATAAAATGGGACTCATCTCTCTCTCTCCTTCTCTACATTAACCTAGGTGTCAAAGGCATACCTTAGGTATGTCAATTATTTCCTGAGATGAAAAACATTACATAAGACAAGTGCCAGCAGCTCACGCCTGTAATCCTAACTACTCAGAAGGCTGAGATCTGAGGATTGCAGTTCAAAGCCAGTCCAGGCAGTAAAGTCCAACAGACTCTTATCTCCAATGAGCCAGCAAAATGGCAAAAGTGGAGGTGTGGCTCAAGTGGTAGAGTGCCAACGTTAAGAGAAAAAGCCAAGCAGGAGGGGCTGGGAAGGTGGCTCAGTGGTAGAGCGCTTGCCTTGCATGCATGCGGCCCTGGGTTCGATTCCTCAGCACCACATAAGCAGAAAAAGCCAGAAGTGGTAGAGTGCTAGCCTTCAGCTGAAGAGTTGAGGGGACAGCTCCCAGGCCCAGAATTGAGGCCCCACGACCAAAAAAAAAAAAGCCAAGCAAGAGGGCGGGTCCCTGAGTTCAAGCCCTGGGACTAGGGTGTTCACACATGCGCGTGAATGCTTGCACATGCGTGCACACACACACACACACACACACACACACACATATATTACAGACTCAAAGATAAAGGAATGATGTATGAAATAGCCTGCACTGAATTACTGAAAGGACAGTATTCATTGGAGAATTAATTTGGAAGGAAATAGAATGTGACAGCTTCAAGATTTTCAACTCTGGGCCCTGTGGCTTCAGAAAGCCAGCTAGACCACAGGATCACCAGGGCCTGGCCTGGGCACTGAGGGATGAGCTGGGAGGAACTGGTTGAGAGTGTAATTAAGGGGAAGGCTGGGTAATGCTAGGTAAGGAGGACTTGAGGGAGTCAAACAAGCAGAGCAGACCCTGGAGCTGTTAGCTGCAGAAGCCCAATGGTTCAGGGTAGACACAGCTCCACCTGGGCCTCGGGGAGAGGATGATGGAAGAGGCCAGAGAGGAGGAATGCTGGAGGAGTGATTGCTCCTTAGGTCATAGTGTCTCTCACTTCTATGTGTGAGGTAACATAGAGCAATGGGGAGCGGGAAGATTGGAGAGGCCATGGCTTGGGCCTGGAGTTTTGAGTGGGCTTTTGGTGATTGTGTACCCAGCATATCTTGCTGGGTGGCACTGAGGGTGAGGCCTGAGAGTGGCTTTATGTAACTACGAAAGAGGCATTCTGGTGGGGTGCTAATGGTCACGCCTGTAATCCTAGCTACTCTGGAGGCTGAGATCTGAGAATGGAAGTTCAAAGCCAGCCTGAGCAGACTAGTCTTTTAGACTCTTCTCTCCAACTAAGCAGCCACAAGTCAGAAGTAGAATGTGGTTCAGGTGCTAGAGCATTAGCTTTGAGAAAGGAAAAGAAAAATCTAAGCAAGAGCACAAAGCCCTGAGTTCAAACCCCAATACCAGCACAGACATACAAATATTTGTACACAGAAAATGCTTAAGTGTACATTTAGAACTTCCTGGCACCTAGAATGAAGCCTGCAATGGTCCTGTGTCACCTGTACTGCTTGGAGCACACCCAGAGAATGGTGCTCAGGTTTGAGAGCCAGATCAGACAGCCAGGTAAACTCAACAACTCAGTAATTAGGGGTCAAGGGAGCTAAGTACCAGATATATTAAATACTTGATGTATGTAGGCCCTGAGAACCACAATCAGTTCAGTACATGCAAGTGACAGGAATATAAAGACCAGGGAGCAGTACAAGGGGAAACCTTTGAAACCGTCAGAGCTGAGTGTGGATGAACTAGACTACCTAAGAGGGCCCTGGCGGTAGGGACCTTGTGGCCTCTGGCTGGCACCTGAGCAGAGGATTGGAAACAAGGTCAAGTCCCAGCCAGTTTTTGCTTACCTTCAGACTCTGTGGTCCTGTGAATCCTGCT